ATTTGTAAAAACATCCTGAGACTGAAGGGACATATGGCAATTTAAAAACAAAATACAAAATTAAAATCCTTAACTACACATCTATTTTGCTTATAAAGCCAGGCCTTGAGAAATCAGATAGAAGATACAGGCAAGATGGAAGAACAGAGGTGCCCTCCAAGTGACTCCACCAGAGGAGAATGAAAGCAACAAACAGAAAGTTGTATTTGAGACTGGTGGGCAAGGGAGAACTCTGGAAATTAAGAAACAAGTGATGGGAAAGCTAAGCAGCACTGAGAAAAAGTCAACCTAGAAAAAAGAGCAAAGTAATGTATAATATCAAGTTCAGCTGCCTAGCCAGCCTGGATCAGGAACCAGATACTGCCCAGAAAAAGCATGCAATCCCAACCATAGTAGGAGACAGGCAGTCCTAAATGCAAGAGAATTTCACAGAGCTTACAAGCTTTAAATCCAGTTTGGGGAACTAGTTGGTATAAAAATGAGTAATCTGCCCTCAAGAAGGAATCCACTTTGGGTACCCACCCCCAACCCAGAACTTAAGTTATAACAATAGCCATTGCCAGACACCCTCTTAGCTTAGGGACTGACAGCCAGGCCCCTATCCCCACCAGAAACTTTGAGCTTGTATGTACCTCTCTGGGCAGAAGACAACCCCTTAACTGTCTGGCAGTTCAGGACCATGGCTGCCAAAGCCACAAATCTGAGTCCCACCTACACTTGCCCCACAGGAATTAATAAAATGTGGTTTTTTTTTTCATATTTAATCTTTTTAATTTAAAAAGCAGGATTGGAAAACATAAAACTAAAATGTTTTTTTAAATTAAAAAAAAAGAAAGAAAGATCCTCGGTCATATTTTTTAAAAAATAACAAAGAAACTCTAAAAAAAAAACCTTTGGGACATCATTAAGCAAACAAATATTCTATTATTTGAATTCCAGAGGGCAGTGGGGGCAAGATGGCAGATCAGAATGGGGCAGCATTTCTCCTAACTCAGCCATCCAGACAGAACTCAAGCAGTGGGAATACTAGGTCTCCCAAAGACTTAGAGTAAAAAATCCTGAGACTGGAGGGGCAGTCTGCCCTAGTCAAACCAGAGACTATTTGACTAATTAATCAGGTCTAAAAATAAAAAACCTCTCCATGGAGTTTATCAATCATTCACAGAGAGCCAATCCAGAAGCCATCTTTGGACTGAAGCACAGTGGAGCCTATAGAAACTGGAAACCCAGATCCAAGAATTTGCAGCTAGGTCTGTGTAGGCCTATCTAAGCCTAGCAAACCTGTGGAAAGGTTTAAAAAAAAAAAAAGGAAACATTTGCGGGGGCGGGGGACTACACAGGTTAGAGAGTCTAGAAGAGAGCCTAGCTCTCCCCAGGTCCAAAAGACCTGCTGCTACCAAGGATTGACAGGGGCAGCTATTGTGGGTCAAAAGGTTGGAAGCAAGGATATGAGGGCATTTTGCTCCCAGCTTGCCCAGGCTGTCTGGCACCTACCAGGTCCCTGGCACCAGCCTGGTCGCTGGCTTCCTCCCCAGTATGGCATCCACCAGTGACCCACTAGGTCCAGTACTAGTCGAGGGCCCTCCATCTCCCCAGTCCCCAGTTTCCCTACACCCTCCCAGCCCCTGACCCAGCCTACCACTCTGCCCACTAGGCCCACAGCTCCACATGCAAGGCCACTGCTTCACCACCAGACCCACCCAGTCCAACATGCAGCTTTGTGGCAGGCCCTCAGATCTAGGCACCCACCCCTGACCCACCTGGTGCAGACCACCTGGGCCTCCAACATGGCCAGGCCCCAACTTGCCCCACACACTGCTTTGCCACCAGACTTGCCCGGTCCAGCACACAGCCTCACTTCTGGCCCCCAGGATCCAGCAGCAGGCCCTGATCCACCTGCCATCCAGACGTGGCCAACTGCTTTGCCACCCTCCATCAACCCAGCTTCCCTAACATACCACCTTGCCTCTAGGCCTACAATCTAGCCTGCCCAAACTAATCTCCCAACAAAGGAAATTGGGAAGTCTTAAACCCCAACCTTCAACACGGTGAGCAACACAATAAAAAGGAAGAACATACCACCCATGGCCCATATTCCTGCACTTAGATCGTACCTCAAGAAGAAATGAAAAGAAAATCAGGTAGGTACAGACAGTGAACACATACACTCACTATTTTCTCTACCATAGTGAATAGGGCTCCTTAAATTCTTAACACTTTACCAAGATTTTTATTGTTGTTATTTGTTTGTTTATTGTGGTAGTAGTTCTGTTTTCATGTTTGATTTGGAGTTTCCATATTGGAACTTTTTTTTATTTGAATGTGTACTGACTGATTTAAGGATTCCTATACATATTCATATTTGTTACTCTTTCATCTCTAGCCTTTTTTCCTTTTTCTTTTTTTTGATTGTTGTTTTGTTTTGTAGCAGACAGGATTAAAAAAGACCCAACAATATGCTATCTCTAAGAGACTCGCCTCATAATACATGATTGTTTATTTTTTTTTTTACAATGGAAACTGCTGATTCCAATATTCTTAAATATAGTACCAATTAACACTAAACATCAAAACAGGAACTAAGGACCTAGTCTACTGCTATATACTGTCTGCATCCATTGTTGCTATCATTGGGCTCCCCACCCCCAGTCCTGGACCAATCTGTAAAGTACAAGTAAAAGAGTGACACTATAAACTCATAAGGTAGAAACTCTACAGCATCAGATCCATTCAGATAGATTGGTAGACACACAAACAATCTGAAAAAAAGAAAAAGAAAGAACAAACCATTCCAAATAACACAGAATACCTCAACATTAGAATCCATTGACACAATAGTGGAGGAAATTTCAGAGACAGAATTCAGAAAAATTCATGGTTAAATTAATCTAGAGGTGAAGGTTGTCATAAGAAATGAAATCAGAAAGAAAATACAAGAAGTAAAAGATCATTTCAACATGGAGATAGAGATCCTGAACAAGAATCAGTCAGAAATCCTCGAACTGAAGGACTCAATAACCCAAATTAAAAATTCAATGGAAAGCATTGCCAATAGACTAGACCACATGGAAGAGAGTTTCAGGCAATGAAGGCAAAATATATAATATAGAAAATAAAGTTGACCATGAGGAAAAGATGTTAAGAGACCGTGAACAAAACTTTCAATAATTATGGGATAACATGAAAAATCCAAGATGTATCTGGATAGATGAAGGTTCAGAGATACAAACCAAAAGAATGCACAATCTTTTCACTGTAATAATATCAGAAAATTTCCCATACCTTAAGAATGAAATGGAAAACTAAATTCAGGAGGCTTACAGGACTCCAAATATATAAAATTAGAACAGACTCACACCCAAGGCACATTATTATGAAGATGCCTAACATAAATTTTAATAAATTTTAATAAAATTTTATAGACTTTCAGAGAACAGCAACAAGGTAATATTTAGAGGGAAATCAATCAGGATCTCAGCCAATTTCTCAACCCAGACACTCAAAGCTAGGAGGTCTTGGAATAATATATACCAAGCTCTGAAAGAAAATGGATGCCAGCCAAGAATACTATACCCAGCAAAATAAAACTTCAGATTTGAGGATGAAATCAAAATCTTCAAAAATAAATAAAAGTTGGGCTGGGATTGTGGCTCAGTGGTAGAGCACTTGCCTAGCATGTGTGAGGCACTGGGTTCAATTCTCAGAACCACATATAAATAAATAAAGTCCACTGACAACTAAAAAAAATACTTAAAAAAAAAAGTTAAAAGAATCCATAACTAGAAAAGCAAGTACTGCAAAACCTACCCAACAAAATATTTGATAAAAAAGAATGAAAAATAAAACTCAAGACTACCAAAGGGAGGAACTACATTAGAAGAATAGTTAAAGGAGAAACTAATTCAAATTAATAAATAAATCAGCCACAAAGAACAATGGAATTATGCATTTGTTGGTAAATGGATGGAACTGGAGAATATCCTGCTAAGTGAAATAATTCAGTTCTGTCAAATGTTCTCTCTGATATGTGAATGCTAACCCATAACAAGGGAGGGTCAGGAGGGGAAGAACAGAAGTTCATAGGATTAGACAAAGGAGAATGAAGGGAACGCAGAACAGGAATAAGAAAGACAGTAGAACGAATCAAACATAACTTTCCTATGGTCATATATGAATACACAACCAGTGTAACTATACAAGATTGGGATCACAATTGTAATGGGTTGCACACTATGTATGTATAATATGTCAAAATATACTCTACTGTCATGTATACCTAAAAACAATAAATAAATTTTAAAAAATAGAAGTAACGATAAAGCATGAAAGGAATTCATTGAAAAAAAAAAAAAAAAAAAAATTCCCCATGAGAAATAGGTTGAAGCCAGAAAAACATGTTGAAATCACTGGAAACAGTTTATTATTATGTCAATGAAAATAAAATTTGATTCTGCTTAAGATTATACTGACATCTACTCTAGGATAATAAAACATGAGAGGGAAAAAGAAAAAAGAATTCCAGAGGGTAAAGAAAAGGAAAAAGTCACAGAAAGCCTATTTCACAAAATAACAGCCAAAAACTTCCCACAACTTCAAAAAAGTTATGGATATCCATCAAGCTCAAAGGACAGTAACTTGATTCAACCAAAACAGACCTTCACAAAGATATAGATGCTCAAAATGTCAAAATAAAAGAGAATAGTGACAAGTTACACTTAGGGAATGCCTATTAGAATTACAGCAGATTTATCAGCAGAAACCTTACAGTCCAGAATAGGAGGATATAATCAAAATACTGAAAGGAAAAAAATGCCAACCAAGAATACTAAATCCAGGGCTGAGGCTGTAGCTCAGTAGCAGAGCACTTGCCTCACATGTGTGAGGTACTGGGTTTGATCTTCAGCACCACATAAAAATAAAATAAAGGCATGTGGTCCATCTAGAAATACAAAATTTAAAAAGAAGAAGGAAGAAGGAAGAAGGAAGGAAGGAAGAAGAAAGGAAGGAAGAAGGAAAGGAGAAGGAAGGGAGGAGGAAGGGAAAGGAGGAAGGGGGAGGAGGAGGAAGGAAGGAAGAAGAAAGGAAGAAGGAAGGGAGGAGGAAGGGAGGAGGGAGGAGGAAGGGGGGAGGAGGAGGAGAATGAAGAAGAAGAATGAAGAATAAGAATAAAGAATGAAGAATAAAGAAGAAGAATGAAAGAAGAAGAAGGAAGAATGCCACTGTCTTCCACCATGATATCCTGCCTTACCTTAAGCCCTGAAGAATGGAGCCTGCTGTCTATGGATTGAGACCTCTGAAATTGTGAATCCCTAAATAAACTTTTCCTCCTCTACAAATGTGCTGGTTGGGTCTTTTAGTCACTGAAGTGAAAAAGCTGACTAAAACAGAAATTGGCACCAGGAGTGGGACCATTTCTGTGACTTACCTGACCATGTAATTTATAAGAATTTGGAGATTTTCAGAATTGGCAGGAAAAATTTTGAGATGTTTAGCAGTGCAAGCTGGAAATGCTTTATACTGTTGTAAGGACACATAAATGGTGAATTCTATTAGGAGCTCAGAAAACCAGAATGCCAATAGGACCATGGACAGTGAAGACAGGGCTCAAGAGGGTTGAGAGGAAAAGGAGGACATTAGTGGTAATAGGACTAAAGGCCATTCATGTTATGTCTGGCTGAGAAGTTATCTACATTTTGCCCATGTTCTGAGACTTTCTGTGAGGGTGATTTTAAAAGTGATGGACTTCTTAATTTGAAGAAATTTCTAGACAGCATAGCATTCAAGCGGTAGCATGGATACTGCTGGCAGCTTTTAGCCAAATTTATTGTGACATTCAGGAGCAGAAAGCAGAGCAGAAATATTTGAAAACTTGGACTTGAAAGGCAGGAGTAAAACTGGAGCTAAGGAAGTTGCAGTTGTCAAAGACATTTCTGCTACTAAAGAAATGCTAAAGACTTTGATCAGAGACAATGAGAAAGATGGCTTGAGGGCACCTCAGGAGCTGGCAAGACCACATCCATCTCAGGCTCAAGGGAGTAAAAGTAAAATATGCTGCAGACAAGACCAGTTGAGTACCCTTCTTGAACAAAGGGACCTAGGAATTTTTTTTCAACATGCTCAGTTACCCAAGCACTCAGAAGCTTCTGCACCCAGGGTCCCTGGAGGCTTGGCTACTGCTCAAGATGGCTGCAGACCCTGGCATCAACCACATGGTTCTGGTTCTACAGAAATACAGGAAGCTGGAGTTTGGGGGTCATGGAGGCTTCCATGAAGATTTCAAAGGAAGGCCTGGGAGTCCCTGTGGGCAGCCCCTGAGAGAACAAAGCATGGAGATGTGAGGAGGAAGCCAAAGCTGCAGTGAAGACTCCAAGATTAAGAAATGCCAGTAACATGGGACATCATCTAGGAAAGCTGCAGGAATCAACAGAGAAAACAGAAAGGCCACTTGGGCTACAACCAACAAGGCCACAGGGGCAGAGCTACACAAATCATTTGGACAGAATATCACCATGCCATGTGCCACAGATGCCAAATGTGGAGCTACAGGACTTGTTTGCCCAGCTGAATTTCGGTCTTCCTTTGGTCCCATCGCTTTTTTCTGAGAAGTTTCTTCCACCATGATATCCTGCCTCGCCTTAAGCCCTGAAGAATGGAGCCTGCTGTCTATGGACTGAGACCTCTGAAATTGTGAACCCCCAAATAAACTTTTCCTCCTCTACAAATGCATATTTGTGCATGGAAATGTTTATTCCATACTTTTATATATTGGAGACTTGTAAATAGCTTTTGTTTTTTACAGGAACTCATGATGAAAGTTTGCTCTGAGTCTTAGAGGAGGCTTTGAACTTGAACTTTTGGGCAGTCCTTGAATTGTTGAGACAGTGGGGACTCTTGGAGATAGACTAAATGTATTTTGCATTGTAAGATGATCACAGGCTTTTGGGGACCAGAGGTGGAATGTTATGGTTTACATGTGAGGTGTTCCCCAAAAGCTCATGTGTGAGACAATGCAAGAAGATTTAGAGAATAAATGATTGAGTTATGGGAGCTTTCACCCAACCAGTTAATTAATTACCTGATGAGATTAGTAACTAATCAGTAATCGAAGGCAGGAAAGGTGTTGCTTGAGGAGTTATGGGCATGGGGAGGGGCATGACTTTGGGGTATATATGTGTATTTTTCATGGAGATCTCTCTCTCTACATTTCTGATCATCATGTGAGCTGCTTCCCTCTACCACATTTCCACTGATTTCCTGCCTCACCTTGAGTCCTGAGGAATGGAGCTGTCTGTCTATGGACTGAGACCTCTGAAACTCTGAGCCACCAAATAAAATCTTACTCTACAAATGTCCTAGTTGGGTGTTTTAGACACAGCAGCGAAAAAGCTCACTAAAACAGATGATAACTATCATCATGAACACTCATGAATATACAAAACTCACTAGAAGGACAGAAACACAAAAGAGGAGAAACTACATAACAGAAAATTACTAAATCAAAAAAAAAATGATGAGGGCTGAAGTTGTGGCTCAATAGTAGAGTGCTTGCCTAGCACGTCTAAGACCCTGGGTTTGATCCTCAGCACCATATAAACAAATAAGGATACTGTGACCATCTACAACTAAAAAATATTTTTTAAAAAATGATGTGGCTCAAGCGGTAGTGCACTCGCCTGGCAAGCGTGCGGCCCAGGTTCGATCCTCAGCACCACATACAAAGATGTTGTGTCCGCCGAAAACCAAAAAAATAAATAAATAAATAAATATTTAAAAAAATAAAAAATGATGAGAAGTGAAAAGGAACAAAAAATACACAAAACAAGCAGAGTACACAATTAACAAGATTAGAGGAAGAAGTTCATACTTACCAATAATAACCTTGAATATAAAAGGGTTAAATTCACCAGTGAAAAGACTTATACTGGCTTAATGAGCTTAAAAAAAAAAAAAAGACCCAATTATATGCTGTTACAGGAAACTCACTTCACTGGTAATTGATAACACATAAATTAAAAGTGAAGGGTTGGAAAAAGATATAAGTGCAGATGGAAACAAAGTGAGCAGGTGTAGCTAAATTCATATCAGATACAGCAAACTTTCAATCAAAAACTAAAAAGAAACAAAGAAGATCATTATATATTGATAAAAGGATCAATGTACCAGGAAGATATAATGATTGCTAATATATATGCACCCCATATGGAACCATCAATTATGTCAAATAAATATTATTGTATCTAAAAAGAGACAGACTCAGTTACAATAATGGCTGGGAACAACACCTCGCTACCTCAATGGACAGATCACCTAGGCAAAGAAATCAACAAGAAAATATCTGAGTTGAATCATATTATACAGAGCAAATGGTCTTCATACACATTTATAGAACATTTCATCCAACAGCAACAGATACACATTCTTCTCATCAATACAGGAAATGTTTAGTCAATTCTCAATAAATTTTTAATAATTGATACAATATAATGTAACATCTCAGATCATAACAAAATGAAACTACAAGTTACCAAAGAGAAAAATGGAAAGGAATACAAACACATGGGAGCTAAATAATATGTTCCTAAATAACCAATGAGTAGTTGAAGAAAATAAAAGGGAAATCAAAATATTTCTAGAAACAAAGAAAATAACAACATATCAAAATCTATGGGATACAGAAAAGCAGTACTTAGAAGTTTACAGTAATAAATCCTTACATCGATATAATAGATCACAAATAACCTAACAATGCACTTCAATATCTTAGAGAAGAACAAAACAAACCAAAAATTAGAAGAAAACAAATGAAATTGAAACTAAAAAGATAAAAATAATCAATAAAACAAAGTTGTTTTTTAAAAGAATAAACTGACAAATATTTATCTAGACTAACCAAGAAAAAAGGACCTAAATAAACAAAAGCTTAAATTTAAAACATTACAGCTGATACCACAGAAATACAAAATATCAAAAGAAACCACTATAAACAATTATAAGCTCAAAAACAATAAAGCTCAGAAGACATATATTCCGGAAGATATAAAGCCTACCAAAATTGAAGATGAAATGGAAAATCTAAACAGACTAAAAGCTCTACAATGAATATCAAAAAGCACTAATGAAAGAAATTATAAAGGACACCAAAATATGGAAAGATATTCGATGTTCACTAATTGGAGAATTATTATTAAAATTAGCATACTACCCAAAACAATCTATAGATTCAATTCAATTCAATTCCAATCAAACTACCAATGACTTTCTTCACAAAAATAGAAAAAAACAATCCTAAAATCATTTGGGACCACAAAAGACAAACAATAACCAAAGCAATTCTGAGCAAAATATACAGTGCCAGAGGCATCTCAATACCTGACTTCAAAACATACAACAAAGCTATAGTAACCAAAACAGCATGGTATTGACACAAAACAGACACAGCGACCAATGGAACAGAAAAGAACACATAGAAATTACTACACATTCATAGAACCAACCAATTTTTGACAGAAATGCTAAAAACATATAGTGAAGAAAGGGGTCTATTTAAATGTGCTGGCAAGAGTACTTGCCTAGCATGTGTGAGGCACTGGGTTCAATCCTTAGCACCACATAAAAATAAACAAATAAAATAAAGGCATTCTGTCCACCTATAACTATTAAAAAATTATTTTTAATTAAAAAAAAATAGGCCAAGCATGCTGGAGTAGGCCTGGAATTCCAGAGACTCCAGAGGCTAAAGCAGGAGGTAACAAGTTGGAAATTAAATTTTTTTAAAAAAGGACTGGAGATGTAGATCAGTGGTAAAGCAGCCCTGGGTTAAATTCTCAGTACCAAAAAATAAATAAATAAATAAAAATAGAACTACAATATGATCCAGCAATTCTACTACTGGGTATATAGCCAAAGGAGATGAAAACATACCAAAAAAAAAGCTAAAAATGTGATCAACTACAGTGCCCTTCAGGGGTTGAATGGATAAAGAAAATATGGGAAAGATACAAAAATCTAATATTATTGAGCCAATAAGAATGAAATCCCATCATTTGCAGCCAAATGGGTAAAACTGGAAGACATTATGTTAAGGAAAATAAGCCAGACACAGAAAGACAAATACCACATTTTCTTACCCCTGTCTGGAAACTAACAAGTCAATCATATAGGAGAACACAATGAAATTGTGGTTACTTAAAGAATGGGAAAGGCATGGGCTGCGGTTGTGGCTCAGTGGCACGGTGCTTGCCTAGCACGTGTGAGGCACTAGGTTGGATCCCTAGCACCACATAAAAATAGACAAAATAAGGGCATGCTGTCCATCTACAACTACGAAGAATTTAAAAAAAAAAAGTGGAAAGGCAGTATAGGGAGGGACAATGAAAAGAAGTTTATTCAAGGTCAACGAAACAGTGCAAGAATTAGTTCTGGTTCTTCTTTAGCACAGTAGAGTAACTGTAGGTTTAAAATAATCTGATATATTTCAAAATAACTAGAAGAGTATGAAATTTCAAACATAAAAATAATGAATGTTTGAAGAGATGCAAACACTTATTATCCTGGTTTGATGATTATATAATATCTATATGTGTTGAGTTACTATTATGTACCCATAAAGATATACAAATATGTGTCAATAAAACAAAGCCATCCCTTACCTTGAGTTTTTCTGATGTCCGTTTGCCTCCAAAGCCTCCAGAACCAACCAGAAAGAGAGAGAACTGATTATAGCATATAAGTTCCTTCCCAGAATAAGAATAGACTGTAAACAAAAGGGAAAAAAAGTCACCAAAAAAACATAACTTATTAACCAAGATGTTCACAATTCCATTAAATTCCAAAAATAAAATCCAATTATGAAAGGGTTCCAAAAGTTACAATCATCTAGCTTGGACTTCAAAGCTCTCATTTGAATGCATTTAAAACCAGTCTCTAAAAGAAAAGTTTCTCAAATCTTTTCTCAACTATGAAATAGCAGTTTTTTTCACTTCCTAAACCTCCCCAACTGCCATTCATATTTTAATTTTTTTCTATCACAAAAGTTTCAAACAATTGCACTAGAAAATGCAAGTAAACACGTTCAGACGTTCAAACTTTCTGCCAAAGCACTCAAAAGAAGCATAGAATGTAAAAGAGAAAGTAAATGGGAATAACTTAACAATGGATTTGTCATGTAATCCTATGATAAATAAAGGAGCATCTGCATAACCTCCAATATATGACAAAACAAGAAGGCCTATATTCAAAATATCAAGCAATATCAAATGTTCCCCTGTTCTTCAGTCTTTGACAATAAATATTTCTCTTCTACTTGAACTTTAAAATAAATTTCAGGCAATGTGTCTTTGGCATGTTGAACTACTACTATTTCAACATTTATTGAACTACTATATTCTTTTTTCTCACTGAAGATAAAATGTGGCTACGATGTTTAAATATATTACAAGTTCTATAAGCTTAAATGCACAAGCATAGGAATCCGTCTATCATTTAGAAGAATGATACTATGGCCAAATATATTACAGGTTCCAAATAGCTAACACAAGAAAACTATATATAGTGCAGCCTATTAATTGAGAGCTAATATTTATTCTGCCAAAAACATACTCCAGTAAGCATAATTCTCCTCTATGATTTGTATTCAAGCCATATTTTTCATAGGCTTTGATTATGTTGTTTTTAAAAAGCCCCACCTTCCCTGGCTCTAGTCCCATTATACTTCCTTCCCCCCTCCTTTTCTCTTTTCTTAAAGAGCTAATCTTGCTTTCTTACAAACAGGAAAATAAACACAAACTTATTAATCTATTTCTGTAGTAGGCATTATATTACATATAAAGGTTACCAATTTAACAATATTATTATGAGAACTATAAGTGAGTTACCATCCATAAGAATTACTACACCAGATCCTTTATCTAGGACATCAGCAACAACTGCTTCACATTTTAATTTTCCTAAAATGAAAAGTAAAATAAATAAGTAGACTATTCTAAAGACCATAAATTATTACATTAAAACATGAAATAACAATATAGTTTCTACTGTAATTTCAACAAAACTCAAAAATTATGATTTGAAGTAATATTCCTGAACTCATTAGAAATAAAATTTGACATTAATAATTCATAATGCCTGAATCTCTAAATTTGAAACATTAACACTTCTAATAAATTAGATATTTAAAAAGTTACCACTTCCAATGTCAACAACTCTTCCTGGTCTGTCATCCCCATCTGTTGAGCACCAATACCATTTATCCCATTCCTTCTCAAATCTCCATTAGTTTTTTTTAAATTAATTAATTTATTTTAATTAGGTACATATGACAGCAGAATGCATTTTGATTCATTGTATACTGCAGCACAACTTTACATTTCTATGGTTGTACTCGATGTAGCGTCATCACACCTTTTATTTCCTTCTAATTACTCTAAGACTCCCTATTCTCTCATTTAACTGGTTATGTTCTGATAATCATTATTCAAGAGTGAAATCCTCAGGTTTTTCTTCTTAAAACCTGCTTTTCTCTTTTGTTCTTTATGAAGAAATGGAATGAACCATCCAACTGCCAAACCACAAACTTGAGCATCATCCTTGACTCACAGAAAATAAGCATATGATAAGATTTGAGTATTCAGAGATTAGTAGAAGCCAGGTCATACTAAAAATTTCTAACTTCATCCTGATGTCTAGGGATAGTCATTTGGGGTTTCAAATAAGGAAGCCACAAACACATTTGCATTTTAGAAATATAATTTTGGCTTCAGTGAGGTGGATGGGCCTATGGGAAAAAACAGCAGAGGTAAAGAGAAATCAGAAGGTGAGAGAACAAAGTTGAAAAATTGGGAGCAGACGTAGACAGAAACAGAAGAATTCTAGATGTATTTAAGATAGAGACTCAAATAATTTGGTAACTATCTGGATGTGATAGATGATTAAAGGAATGTGAAGCATTACAAAGACAAGCCAGAGTAATGCTTCCCGAAATCCAAATCTGCTCATATACTCTCTGGTTTAAAGTCCTTCAGTAGCTACTTATTGCCTTTATAACGAAATTCAAACTTCTTAATCTGACTTTTGGGACCTTCCAAGATCCTTCTTAGCTCTCTACTCTCATAATCTTGCTACTCTCCCCAACTTTTTTGAACTATTTTCAGTTCCCTTAAACTACCAATGCTTTTTCTCACTTCCAAACCTCTACACATAGTATTTCTCCCTTGGCCTTAAATTATTTTTCAATCTCCTCTTTACAATGTTAAATCCTAATTCAACCTTCAGATCTCAGCTCAGAGTTCATTTCCACCAAGATTTCCCCAACCCCAAGTTAAGTTGCAGGTTAAAGATTTTCCCTTGTGCACTCCTACCATTTATAAAGTATTTTACAATGTTTACCAATGCCTATTGTCTACTAGACAGACTCTAAGCTCTGCATAAGCAAGGATGACATTTTTTTCCATAGTTACATTACTAACACTTAACAGAATGCCTGGTACATAATGAATACCTAATAAATATTAAAAGTGAATAATTCCAGACAACTGATTCCTTAATCTACCTTTCTTTAGTTTCCAAATTTTCTATTTTGAGTACATATCATTTTATAAATTGGTAAAAATCTAGTTAAAGAATATTTAGGAGTAAAAGGTTCAATGTATACTAACAATTAAACCACAACTATCTGAAATTCTGTTTTGGAAATCTGTCATAATAATTATATTTATTTAATGCTTAACTGTTCAAAAGTAATTTTACGTATACTGAGATTTGATGGTTATATATTCTGTTAGAGAATCAAGGCTGGTAACATTATCAGTCTCACCTTCTGCATGAAATAATGTATTGTTTTGCACTAATAATAGAAGTCATACTGAGAAAGAAATGTCTAAGAAAGACATCATATAAAAACATAATAAAGATAAAACTCTGAACTCAGAGACTCTAGAGACCACTACATGCTGTATAGGACATGTTCTGATTCGTGAAGGAAAATAGTGTTTTTGTCAGGTTCCTTCTGCTCTATCTAATGGTTATGTTTTTACCAAGATGAGGGATAAGTCAGCTAATGATAGTACCATAGCAGTTAACAAATTAGCAAGTAAGAGATGATAACATTAAACATCTGATGCCTATGACCCCATGCCTCATCAATTGGTATGTTGTATGAATAGACAACCATATAGTAGCCATGTTCTTGGTTTTCTATAGTTTAAAAAGGTTCCAAACCACAAGTATCTTGAATTTTCAGTTTTCACATTTACTAGAAAGTAAACTTTAAAACTATGTAATATCATTTGATCCAGCTATCCCACTTCTTGGTTTATACCCAGAGGACTTAAAATAGGCATATTTCAGTGATAACAGCCACATCAATGTTTATAGCAGCTCAATTCACAACAGCTAAACTATGGAACCAACCTAGGTGACCTTCAACAGATGAATGGATTTTAAAATGTGAGATATATGGAATATCACTCAGCCTTAAAGAAGAATAAAATTATGACATTTGCTGATACATGGATGGAGCTGGTGAATATCATGCTAAGAAAAAAAAAAAAAAAAAAACCGAATGTTTTGTCTGATATGCAGATGCTAATTCACAATGGGGGCAGGGTGCTAGGGAAGAATAGAGTTGCTTTAGATTAGTAGAGAGAAGTGAAGGGAGGAGAGGGGGAATGGGGGTAGGAAGGACAGTGGAATGAGTCAGACATTATTACCCTATGTACATATGTACATATATAACTATACAACCGGTGGGATTCTACATCATGTATAACCAGAAGAATGAAAAATTATACTCCATTATCTATGATGTATCAAAGTGCATTGTATTGTCATGTATAATTAATTAAAACAAATTAAAAATACATATGTTCTTTAAAAAAACAGTATGTGCTATAGAAGGAAAAAATTCATGAGAAACATAACTTGAGGTTAAGTAGGTAAGAGAATTTTTAAAAAGTATTATCTGTACCTTCCTATTCATATCAATACATAGTTGTAATCATTTTAGAGCTTATGTCTAATCTCTCTCTTCATATTTTAAAATCCTTAAAAACAGAACATTCTATTACACTTATAACAATGGTTCCCAAATGAACCCATAAGTCTGGCTACATAAGAAACACAAGGAAAGTTCTGTGCTGCTAGATAATACCACCACATCATCCACAATATACCACATTTGGAGTGGAGTCCAAATCCATATTTTACTAAAAATAAAAGGTAATATGATGTAATAATTAAGGTGATTTTGATATGCAACCAGGTCAAAAAATTACCTAATACCTAAATAGTACGCCTTGCAAATGTTAGGTACCTAACAGATATTTGATGAATGCACAAGCACCACAAACTCTGCACTGTTTCAGATGAAAACAAGCTATTTGAAATTTTATACTATAATACTTACATTAAAATAAAGTTAGTCCATCTTAAACAATAAAAATCTCATGGACTTTTAGTAAAATACAGTTTTATAAAAAAAAATTTAAATAAAATTCTAACTACTTGCTGATCCCTACATGATATAATGTGAAATGTTAAACACTCCTTTTTTGAATTTTACAAGCTGTAAGACCAGTATATAAGTAGACAACACCAAAAGAAACAAAAACAAATATATAAAATTATAATGAAAAAATAAAAAGAAAAACTTTGGTGAACAAGCAAGAACTTATTGAGAAAGAAAAAAATGATTATTAAAGTAGGCTTGGCTTTATTTTCTCCAAAAGAAAATAGGAAAAAATTTTAAAAATCCATATATTTTAACATTGTTTGCTTTATGAAAATAAGTATCAAGATAAATACCTGAGAAAGAATGTAAAACTATAATTGTAGAAATCACAACTAATTGTACACACACAATCTTAAAATTTAGAACACAAATGTTCAATTTTTAATGGTTCATATGACATAAGAAAAACAGGTAGTACTGTATGTTAATTTATTATAATACTATTAATGAACAAAATTTAAAGTAAACAAAATAGATACTAGTTAACATCAACCTACTCCAGTGGTTTATAAGTACATAGTAATTTCTGATTATGTTTTTCTGGATCACTCCTCTTTAAGACAATGGCACAGTTTGGAATGTTAATTAGAAAATTATGGAATTCATGTGTAAGGTACTCACCTGATCTAGGAAGAGGTTTATATAACTCCAGGTATTGCTCCCCATGAAGAACCTATGTTAAGATGAGCAAAATTTTTATTAGCCAACTGCTTTGTCCCATAGCTTCTGCTCTGGATATTGCTTATCACAAGTGACATTTTATTGTCTACATGCTCCAATCATATCTCTCTAAGTTTGGCTTTTAAGAACTACTTCTTAATCATGTGTCTCAGAAATAATCAGTCACCAATCTGAAGACACTCATCACTTTTGGAGCAAAGAACATACATTTATGCTCTTTCTTGGCATGCACAAATCCTTGTTGATTGATAATTATAGATTATTTGCCAAAAATGAGACACTAAACTATGCTTTCTTCCCAGTGCTTATAACAGTGCCTGGAACGTATTAGGTATCCAGTAAGTATTTGTTGAGCAAAAGTGAACAAAAGGGCCAGTGCTAGTAAAGTAATTTCAGGTCACACATACCAACCAGAAATGACTCAACTAAAACACAAAAAGAAACCTTAAGGCATATTCAAAGGCAAGCACTGTCAATGTCAACATTCCCTTTTTACCATTATTTTATAAATTATCTATGAAGAATAGATACTAAGGAAACTGTGTAAATTAATAGCAACAAAGCAAAATAAACCATCTTATGTTGGAAAAGCAAAACTTGATCCTTATACCCAAATCACTGCACTCCACTGCAGTAGGAGAGTCTCCCAGTCCCCAAAATTCAGAAGGAAAAAAAAAAAGATGGGAAAATAAATGAAGAACTACCTGCCTGACTGTGTCATATAGTCTGATAACTCAAGATTGGGAAGACTGGGATTCAAATTGCAAGGTGGCTATCACAGAATATGACCACCATTTATGATTTCCAATTCTGAGGGGAGAATTTTGAAATATTTGTTTTAATTTTTTGCACTTGCATTATCCAAACAGAAGAACAGTGTGCTACAAACACCATGGGTGATAACTAAAACAGCAAACTGCCCAGCACATATTTCTGGCCCTCCTCCCAATTTCATCAAATACTCTAATATGTTTCCCGTGTATTCAGAGGAGACACCCATGAGCAATGGGATAATCTTCAAACAAAGTTACAGAAATCTTTCCAGAGCTCTGAATCAAGAACTACTGCTGGGCTCAACCTTAACTTTACTCCAATATTAAAATATATCCTATTTCAAAAGCTTTCTCATAAGTGTTCATTTTATTCATTCTTTCAGGTTTTTTTCAGTTTCTCTGTATCATTTCTACCTGTGAACACTGCAGGGCCCTAAACTCAGATCTCTTCTCTATTTAAACTCACACATTAGATGATTTTACCTATTCTCAAGTTTTAACATATCACCTATATGCCAAAGATCCTATTTAGACCTTTCCTCCAAACTTTAGATTTACACTCAACTGTCCTTTTTACATCTTCAGTTGAATGTGTAACTTATCCAAAACCAAGTCCTGACTACCTCCACCTTAAAATAAATATGTACATGTGAGTATAATTATACACAGTAATGTCATATGCAACTACTATATATGTTAAATATATTGCATATTTAATTATACATTGTGCTTATTGTAGGGTGAAGAGGGTATAAATCAATTATCTAGAAAAATACCTTCCTCCTAGACTCCTCTTTTTTTCCCCGCCTATCTAGAATTTTTGCTTGGATCACTACAATAGGCTCCCATATAATCTCTTAGCTTCTATGCTTGGCTCCCATATAATCTCTTCTCCACACAATAGCATTGAACCTGTGAGTGAATATAGGTGGATCATGGCAATCCTTAAAAGGGTTGCCCTTGGCCTCCCATGTTAAACAGAATATAAGCTGAAATCCTTACAATGACTACAAGGCCTTCTTCTTCTGCCGCCCCTGAATAGAGTGACCCCTTATACACTTTACAGCTATACTGGCCCCTCTGCTGTTCCAAATATAAGCCAAGTATGTACCTATCTCAGGACCTTTTTTCACCTGTTCTCCCCCAAATACTCTTTTACCAGAAAACTATTTGGCTTGCTTCTTGACCTAATATCATGAGATAAAAACTGTCACATCTATTTTATAGATAAGGAACTGAAGTCTAGAGAAGTTATTTACCCTTGGTCAAATAGCAAACTAATTCTCCCTCTCTTTTATTCTTCTTGTTTTGCTACCAGGTATTAAACCCAGGGGGCTTAACCACTGAGCCACATCCCCAGCCCTCTTTATATTTTATTTACAGACAGCATCTCACTAAGTTGCGTAGAGCCTTGCTGAGTTATTGAGGCTGGCTATGAACTCATGATCCTCCTGCCTTGGCCTCTTGAGAAGATGGGATTATAGGCATGCACCATGATGCCTAGCTCTTTTATTCTTAAACACAAAAGTCAAAAACTATGCTAAATCTTTATTCCTGAACTAACCATTGTTATAAATTATTTTATAGTTTTATGTATATATATACACACACACATACACATACATATAATATATACAATACAGATACACATATGCATACTGGATGTGACATTTACAGATAACATCTAAAGAAACAGAAGAAAAGTCAAACAAAATTTCTTATTAGGCATACCTTTGCAAAGTTGACTGAAAGCCCAGGAATCTCTGCTAATCCTCCACCCATCATAGATTTCTGAGCTATGATAACTCCAAAGGTAGGCAAACAGGAGAAATCAGAACTTCCTTCATAAACAAATTTCAAATCCTTTGGATCTTTGACAGATGCTCCCACTCCAAGAGCATACATAATTGTTTCCATTTCCGTGTAAGCAGAAGAAAATGAAGGGAGTTTATAGCCAATAGCTCCAGCCTATAGAAAAGTTGAAAAAATTATTTTTCATTGTATTTTTGTCAAATTTTTGAAATTTTAACTTTTAAAACTATTTTATTTTAAAACTATTAACTGTTTATATACCTAGCCTTGCCTTTGAACAGATGTTAATCAAATGTCAATGAATTTGATGGAACATAATTATTTCATTATATTTATTCATTATTCATTTCATTACATTTGATGTTTTACATAAAAACCAAGTAATGCCTAGAAAAAGACTTCATTTACAGATAAGTACTTTTTTATTGTTTGCTTCTTGCTAACACATATTATGTCTCATTTTGAATTTTCCTGTCTCTGACAGTGGAAACTTTATTAATTCAGCAAATACTGGCTACCAAAATCCAAAAAAGAATGAAATCTGTTATAATTAGGGGATACTGAACTGTTTTACAAAATCAGCTGTATAAAAGTCATGGTAGGGGCTGGTGCTGGAGCTCAGTGGTAGAGCACCTGCCTTGCACAGGTGAGGCACTGGGTTCAATCCTCAGCACCACATAAAAATGATAAATCAAGATATTGTGTCCATCTACAACTAAATATTTCTTTTAAAGAATTCACTATAAACAAATGAGCAAATCATAGCGTAATGCTTATAAATTAAATTGCTTAATAACATTTTCAGTTAAACTGAGATTTAACCTAAAGTTTCTTTCCAGGAATGTCTTTTGCCTAACTGGATGATAGATTTTTCAATTTACAGATAATATGCCTAACTACTATGTGAAGCACATATTATAAAAAAATGACGTCCAATTTTTCAGTCACTTTTATCCTACAGCAGGAGTCAACAAACAAGGACTAGAAGTTTACAAGGGTTTTTACATTTTCAAAAGGTGGTTAAATATATATATATATATATATATATATATATATATGATTTAGGGCCCTATTAAAACTCTCATGAAAAAAAAAAATATATATATATATATAGGGCTGGGATTGTGGCTCAGCGGTGGAGTGCTCACCTAGCACATGTGAGACCCTGGGCTCAATCCTCAGCACCACATAAAAATGAATAAATAAATAAAGATATTGTGTCCAATTAAACAATAAATATTTTTTTTAAAAAAAAACTTATATAAATAAATAGAACTTGTGGTATAGCTCAGAGGTAGAATGCATGTTTGTGCTTAGCATGCACAAGGCCCTGGTTTCAATTCCAGTGCCAAAAAAGAAAGAAAAAGAAAAACCAGAATACTATGTGTTAAAAACAGTATGTGGCCTCTAACACTTAAAATATTTGCTCTAATACCTAAAATATTTGCTCTGTCCCCAAAAATTTTGCTGACCCCCTATTTTAAAGTAAAAATCCCAATAACACACTGCGAACACTCTCAGACTTAAAAATTAGATTCCTAGTGTTATCACTATTCTCTATTTTAAAGTATCTATGCCATGTTTCTCTTCAATATTAGGCAAAACTTTCGAGACTTAAAGAGAATAACTGCATCTGAAAAAAATAAAAGGGGCAGTGGGGGGAGGAAAAAAAAGAGAAGGAGGAAGGAAGGCCAAGTTTCAGAGGAGACAACATTCCCCACTTACAAATCCTGAAGTAGCTGTAGATGTTGCATGACTGGTATGATTTATTGAAACTCCTCCTTCTGCATCTATTTTATGTAAAACTTCAATCATACCTGCAACTGATTCTAAAATTAAGAAAAATAAAGAAAATGAAGCTTGGTTTAAAATGTAACTAAAAATGCAACAGTAAGCTAGATAACAGTTGCCAACTATAAAACCTCCTCATTATTCATGAACTGAATATATGATGTTAGACTTTTGTAGGAAAAAACTGTGAAAGACTTGGAAATACACCAAAAGCATAGCCTAATGTACTCTTCACAGACTCAGAGCTTTTCATTATCTTTCAGCTATTTTACGGTAAAGAAGAATGAGGAGGGGCTGAGGCTGTGGCTCAGTGGCAAAGTGCTTGCTTCACATGTGTGAGGCCCTGGGTTCAATCCTCAGAACCACATAAAAATAAACAAATAAAATAAAAGTATTGTGTTCAACTAAAAATATTAAAAAAAAAAGAAGAATGAGGAGTGTAGGAGGAAGGTGCTTGTTCTAGATAACTGATTTATACCCTCTCTTCACCCTGCAATAAGTACAATGTATAATTAAACCCATAAAGTAGGATACATGTTAGCAGATATGTAATCTCTGTGTGTCTAGTGGAAAGACAACTGATTTCCCTTCTCTCTCTACCATCAACCCTTCCTCTGGGATGGAAGAATGCTAATACCTCCACCCCAGGTCCAAAGATAGTTTTAAAAATTCTTGCCAGGCACAGTGGTACACACCTATAATCCCAGTGAGTTGGAAGTTTGAGGCAGAGGATCTCAAGTTCAAAGCTATCCTCGGCAACTTAGCAAGACTCTGTCTCAAAATCTTAAAAAATGAAAAAGCAGAGGTGGGAGGGCCTGGTGGTAAATTACCCCTGGGTTCAAATCACCAAAAAATAAAAATAATAATAATAAAATACCTCCAGAGACAGAGGAAACCACCATTATGAACAGTGATTCTAGATAGAAAGTGGAAGTTGCTGTTCTGCGGTCTAAAAGGTTGTAAAGAAGTTCATGTATGTGGATATACGTATTAAAAATATTCTGAAGGCTCTGGGACATAGGTTTCCTACTAAACTCTGACAAAAATGAAAAACAAAACACAAAGTCTGAGATGACCAACATTACCTGCTACTCTAGGTCATGCTACTAAAGAAGTTTCTTGCCTAATCCTCTCCCTACATCCCCATTCAGCCTGTTGTCTTGAGGGAAGGCGATTTAATTGAAAAGTACCATGGTACAGGCTAAAAGCACTTCACTCAGAGATAGACAACCTGAATTAACTCTTAGCTCAAACAATGGTCAGTTTTGCTGGGACTTAGTTTAATCATCTCTAAACTGAAATTACTAAAATAGGTACTCTGGAAAGTCAACTCTTATCAGAAAAGATGACTTTTCATTATACTTTTTTTCATTACATCTTTTTTTAATAATAGTCTAATACTTTTGAGGCAAAAAGGCAGAGAAATGTTTTTAACTTTTCCTTTTTCTTTTGTTTATTTTCATTGATAAGCAACATTCACAGAACAAAATTTATCTCAAATATCAAAAATATAAAATTGCTACCATTTATGACATATCAATCATGCTATCATCTGACTGAGAAAAGGCATAATGAAAATTTCAAGAATGTACATGTAGGAAGGAAAGTATCAACAAGAAGCAAAAACCAAGCTGGGCACAGTGGTACATGCCTACAATCCCAGAAGCTTAAGAGGCTGAGGCAGGAAAATAGCTAGTTCAAAGCCAGCCTCAGCAAAAAGCAAGGCATTAAGCAACTGTTTCTAAATAAAATACAAAATAGGGCTGGGGATGTGGCTCAGTAGTCAAGCTACACATGGTGGTGCACCTGGAATCCCAGCAACTCAGAAGGCTGAGGCAGGAGGATCTCAAGTTTGATGCAACCTCAGCAACTTAGTGAGAGCCTCACTAGTAAGCCACTCAGTGAGACCCTGTCTCAAAAAATAAAAATAACTGTGGATGTAGCTCCATGGTAACGTAAGCCTGGATTCAACCCCCCAGTACAAAAAAAAAATAGTAAAAACCTGAGCAGTCATTTTTTCAGATATATTCTTCTATCAACTCGGAATATAAAATTATTGAGGAAAAAGGAAAAATGTTTTTCTATAAAATGATCCTGACTCATAATCTTACTCAGAAAACTCTTTTAAATTTCACATGTCATATGCAAATGCAACTTTTACTAGGAAAAAATGTGAATTTTCTTTGCTCTCTCTTCCTGTGGGTATGTTGTAGGTGATTAAATAATTCAAGTTAATAAGCATTTATTAAATCCCTTCTGAGTTCAGCACTATGATAACACCAAGCACAAAAGAATATTATATATAGGACTGGGGTGCAGCTTAGTGGTAGAACACTGTCTAGCATGCCCAAAAACCTAGAATTACAAAAAAATAAAAGAGAGAGACAGACAGAATTACATATGATACAATCTCTGCCTCAAAGAATTTGCCATGCAGTTAAGAAACCATATAATCATGGAAAAAAGCAATGGACAACATTACAATTAGATGTTAATTAGAAGTTCAAGTGGGTAGGAGTTCAACTAACAGAAAGATCAACGTAGCCCAGATTATCTGGAAAGGTTCTGCTGAGTATCTAGGCTTGAGTATTTCTAAGAAAGCACTAAAATTATGTAGAGGTGATAAAAGGAAGACAAAGTATGATAGAAAAGGAGAAAAACAATAGCAAAAACAAAGCACTAAAGCAAAGCCTCTTTTATTCTCTAAATGAAAAAGAACTAAGCCCAAGTAAACTAAGCTTAAATAAACTTTAGAGGAAATAGAGAAAAATGGGGTCAAACTAGGAGCATGTACCTAGATAAAGCAAGATTTTTTAAATGAACTATCAGCTAAAAAGTAGGTGCATTTAACACAAATAAATAAATGCCTTGTGCCATCCATCCCCCTGCCACAAATAAGCCAAAAAACAAGACTATAAAAAAATGACAGTGGGACATAAATATCTTAAATATGAAGAGTTCTAATACCAACTATAGCAGAAAATATACTACACATGATAGAAGTGTTTAAGTCATCACATTTTAGAAGGTCACTCCATATAATAAGAGAGAATATTTGTTGCCTGTGGTTCCCCAACCAAGGTTAAATGGCTTGGGATTCTCTTTACCTTGGATATTCTGAGGCTTGCTGGCATTATCAAAGTCACAGATCTTCTCCCAGTTAGCCTTCACTGCCTCAGGAGTCATTGGCTGATTCTTCTGTCTTGCAATGGCTCCAAGGGTCCGCTCCCAGCGTACTAATTATAGGAAAAAAAAAAAAAAAAGAAAAACAAGTTACTGAGCACATAATTTAGGAGGAAAACAGAAAGTAAAATGTGTAAAAGCCCCTTAAATTTTTAACTTCAAGAAAAAGGAAATTCAGAAAAAAAGTGTTCCACTTTGTAGAATTTTACTATGAGCATTAAAATGCCTTTTTCCTAAAACACCCATCAGGAAAATGTCAACTAAAAAAAATTGTTTTGAATAAAAATTTTCTCCTTTGACTGTGCCAGGCACTACTAAAGGTAGAATCTCATGCTGAATCTGAAAACTAAATTACAAAATAATTGCACCAAAAGACTTACCTCATAACCACAGATGACTCAAGTAAAGATACGTAACTCTTCTTGTATATAAAATGAAGATTAACAGAATAGAACGTGTTGGATAGTAAATAGAAAACTAGTGGTGGTAACATGCCAAAGATTTTAGTTAACAAAAAATCAGTATATCAGATAGCCACATATAATTCTCTTTATCCTTCTTTTGCCCTCCTTCCATTTCGACAAGAAGTCAACTAAACTGCACAGATTTACAGAAAACATAAGTTCTGCATCAATTCCATTAGGAGAATTTTTAACATTGTTTCCTTTTAAAAATCCAGAAGAATAAATACACTGGCTACCTTATTTAAGCATAATGATCAGACTGTTTTTGATGACTGTCTCCCCCCACCACCCGAATTGAATCCAGAGCCTTATGCACACTAGGCAAGAGCTTTATCACTGTGTTATATCGTCAGCCCTTTTCAATTTTATTTTGAGACAGGGTTTTGCTAGGCTTCCCAGGCTGGCCTGAACTTGAAATTCTCTCAACTCAGGCTCTTGGGTACCTGGGATTACAAGGGGGCACTTGATAATTATTAAATTTAAGACTTAATAATTTAATAAGTACTGGGAAATCTAGAAATGCCTGCTTTTGAATTTTTCCTATTGATAGAACTTTTACTGAAGCACTCATTTTCCTATCATAAGTGGGTGTTTTTTCAAAAGACACTCAAATGCTTGAGGAACTTTAACAACTGGACAGAGCAGTCATTAATGCTAAAAATATTAATAATTTACAATACATTGTACCAACGCCCTCCAGTGACAGCAACCTTTTAAGTAACTCAATTAATCGTGTGATTAATTTTGATACCAACAGCCAACTGAAAACAAGGTATTAGAATTTTCACAATTTTTTAATTCTATAAAGCAACTATAATTAGGTTTAAGAGATGGGACAGAAGAGCACTGATGATACTAAATGAATTTACTATTGAAGAGAAGGAAAACAATTCCCATATCAGTTGCAATTTATTGACCAATGTTGCAAAGTTGTCCAATGTGATTTCTCACTCTCCCGATATTTTATGCTAGAGGAAGGAAATAATTACATGAAAGAATTGGAGAACTTGCTAGCTATGCCATCTAGAATAGGCTCCTCCCATGTTTTCAAAATCGTCTCTCCCTCCCACTCACTTCTCTGCTGAAACAGCAAGGGATGCCAGAGATGTTGGAGGATAAATACAAATATAAAGACAGACTTTGCTAAATGAAGGAATAAGACAGGAAAAAGTCCTAAATAAGGGTTGCCTACAGAATGAACAGACTTTCGAAAGTACAGAGCCCTGCAGGACAATTGTCATGTTTTAGAAGATCTGCTGTATAACAATATTCAAGTCTGAATATGTGTGCACTAAATCTAGTGATTAGGCACTTGACAATATGCTTATTACCTGGTTGTAATGGAAATGCAGATTTAAAGATATGGAAATAACCAATGGCAAACCAAAACTGAGAGACTTACATTTTCCAATCCATCCTGCTCCAACCTAGCAAAAAAGAGGGAGAAACATTATATTATATTATATAATGTATAATCACTAGTAGAATTTTTTAATTTAAAATAAAGGCAGCAATCTTACTAGGTATAATAGAATGCTAGATGACAATGAATAAAAATAATATGGCTCTACAAAAGTCTACTGGTCCCATGAATTTACACTGTTCCTAATATCAAAAGTAACACAATGTAGTAGGAAAAAAAAGACTATGAAGTAAGAGGCCAAGGCTTGATACCATATCTTCTACTGACTAGCTATGTAACCCTGGTCAAATCATTTGGCCTCCTGAAACACAAATTTCACCATCTGTAAAATAAGGATAACAACACATAGTTTATGTGGTTACTGTGAAATTTATACAATGTAAATTGTACACATTATAGTCTCAAAATAAATGTCCTTCTAGAAAGAACCAGTGAACTAAAAAAAATAAATTAAATAAATTCAAAGCCCATAGAGTATTTGACTTAATGAATTACATATATTCATGTTAGTAAAACATCTTTATTTAGAGATAAGGCAAATCACCAAATACCAACTGCCACACAGAAAGATAAATTTTATATATCTATGTTTTTAGAGATTCAGGAAAATCCTAAAGGGAAAAAATGTCTGATATAAAGAAAATCCAGCATGTTTTCAAACACAACTACACTGTGGTAAAACTTCATATTCAAATTCTACATGCAGGTGGTAGGAAAAAAAATGTATAAGGAGACAGCACACATCTTGGTGGCTCTAGGCATAAGGATGTAACTTTTCATCATCTTTTGCCTTTATATTAATATGCCCATGTCTTTTATATATCTGATGAATCTTGATGTAATTAAGAGTACATAAATCAGCAGTGGTTTTGATAACAGGTAAGAGATATCACCTTTTATCATACTCTGGGAGTGATGTTAGCAACAAGTTCTTCTGAGATGCTAGAAACAACTGCACCTGCTGAACCAAAATCTTTATCTACCACTCTAGGTATCTATCAGAATTTTGCAAACAAAGTGGTAGTTTAAGTCAGAATATTACACCCACTTCTTATCATATTTTATCAATCAGGCATGTCAAATGTTCCTCACTAAAAATGTTCACAATAGAGTAAATGAAAATAACAACATAAAATTTTATCCTCAGCATGATCCTAATTGTCTACATGACTTTGGATGTGTGTTTAAAATACACATCTAAAAACAGACTGGAAGGAAATACATACAAATATAGTTCTCTCTGCGTAGTGATAATGTGGTGATTTTTATTTTCCTGTATATATGTTCCAATATAGTTAAACTTTTCAGAGAATATACATTTTTGTTTACAGAGTTAATATAATTTTCAAAGTTAAGTAATTTTTAAAATTCCTTAGATAAAAGAGGGTCAGGATAAATTTTAAACTCCAGATGGCTTGATATTATTAAGTTTTCCTATTCTGTAAAATTAGATTTGTAAATTTCCTTCCACTTCTGATTTTCACAATTCACATTCAATGGGTGTGATTAGAAAGGTGGAGGCATATATCTCTGTTTAGCTAAATGAAGGCTATTTTATTTTTCTCCTTTAATTTACTCATAAGCTTTTTATTCAAATGAAGCAGGCTAATAAGATAGTATTCCCTTCAAACTGAGCCAGATTCTTTTTCTACCAAAAAATGTTTTGGATGCCACAGTATTGTACATACCACAGGTTTATTATAGACAATCAAAAAATGGAAGGAAGAAGGTTCTAATATATAAAACTTCAGGCTAAGAAAAAAGATTAAACTCAAATGAGTAATCATAATACATACATCAGCTTAAAAAGGGAATGGGGAAAACAGAAAAGTTTTCTTTTAAAGTTTAAAACAAATAGTAAGTTGTATTTATTGATCTATCATAGCCAAACTAAATTCCTGATACAGATTAATAAATAAAATTCTGGGGAAGGCTGTTATATACTAGACACAATGTTAAAGGTTTACAATTATTTATAGTTAATTATAGTTTGGATCTGGAATGTCCCCCAAAGGCTCATGTGTTAAAGACCTGGTCCCAGCTGGTGGTGCTATTGGGAGGTGGTGGGAACTTCAGGAAGTAGGGCCTAGTTGGAGGAAGTAGGTCACTGTGGGAACATCCTTGAAGAGTGTATCTTGCTCCTGGCCCCTTTTTCTCAGTTTCCCAGCTGCTATGAAGTGAACAACTCTATCCATCACATGCTCCCCATCATCATGTTCTGCCTTGTGAAAGGACCAAAGCAATAGGGCCAAATGACTATGGATTGAACCCTGAACCAAAATTAATCTTCCCTCCTTCAAGTTGATTTCTCAGGTATTTTGTCACAGTGGCAGAAAACTAACACAAGGTACCACAATAAACTTCAAGAAAACTAAAGCTCAGGAAGGTTAATTTATACAATATTCCAGCAAGTCAGTGATTACCAGAATAAGAATTCAAAATCTGATCCAGGTGACTCTAAACCTCAAGCTCTATCTTTCCATTTTAAGAAGCTGAATGTCTTCTTAAATCAATGAAATGTTCTATATTTGACTAAACAAATCATACTAGCCATATTTTCATTTGGTAAGACTATTAGAAATGGAGAACTATGAAAAAACATAATTTATAAAGCTGATGTTACTTTTTCCAAAAGGACACTTGTACCTTAGTAACATAAACATAATATTTTAAAATATTCAAGTTACGTCAACCAGTGCAGATTGTACAAATGTAAGCATTTGAAAAACACTAATTTTAAAATCCTTTTTTATATTTAATTACACAAATATTGCTTTAGGAAAAAACAGCAAGTTTCAGAATACCTCAAACAAACCACCATTTTCCTCACAACTCTCATGGCAAAGCCAAAGGATCAGCGGTGCCACATACTCAGGCTTTAAAGCTTCAAAAAGATCTAAAATAAATACAAAGAAATTACAAACAAGAATATGTATGTTTTATCTGTCATTCTGCTTTGTGAAAATTTCTTACTTATGTAGGTAAAATTTCTTATGTTGATGATTCAGAGACTTTAAATAAACAAGAAAAAATATATACATATGTATGTAAACAAGAAAAAATATATATACATATGAATGTATACTCAAATATTAAAGGTTTTTAGAAGAACTTTTTCATCCCCATTGAGACATTTAGAAGAACTTTTAGAAGAACTTTTTCATCCCCATTGAGACATACCTGAAACATTATCAAGTTTCTTGATAAAACTGCAGTCATTAGACATACCTTTCCATGATGGGGAACATACTATTCTGGAGAAAATGTTAGAGCAGTCTCAGCAAAGACTGATGAGTAAAATTATATATATGAGAATCACAGGTACCATTCATTCCAAAAACTACGCCATTCTTCCAACTATTTAATGAGAATTTTGGAAAACTTCAAACATCCTTGACAATTATAATAGCAGAAAATGATTGAAAAAGACCCTAGAACCATCATGATGAGTAACAAAAACATAAGGATTGTTTTCTCATTGTAAACCTCTGTGAGCAGCTTAGTACAGCAAAAAAAGTACTACATAAGAAACACAAAGACCTAGAATTTAGTGCCGGCCCTACAGGTAAGCAACTTAAGAACTTGGGAAGATCACTCAATTTCCTTGTACCTGTGTCTTCATCTATAAATTGGTAATTAAAATGTTTTCCCTGACTATTCTACCAATTTGTTCCAATATTCCAATGAGATAAAACTGTATCTTGTGATATCTTTTTTTAAGCCAATTCTTTTTTTTTAAATTTTTTTCTAGTTCTCAATGGACCTTTATTTTTTACTTATTTATATGTGGTGCTGAGAACCAAACCCAGTGCCTCACACATGCTAGGCAAGTGCTCTACAACTGAGCCAAAACTCCAGCCCTTATGATATCTTATAGACCTTAAATCTTATCTAAGAAATCAAATAAATGCAGAAACCTGTGATATGATGTAATTTTATATTAACATAATAAAATAGCAAAGATGTACTTAAAGTCCTGTAAATTAAAGATCAGCTACAAAATCTTCACTTCATGGTCTCTAAAAGATCTCAAATCCACATGCAATCCAATGGCATAGTGTTCTCCACTTTCCATTATACACATATGGAGAAAATCAAAGGAAGACTCCATCCAACTTCTTGAACTACACAATAAAACAAATTCTTAACCTATATACCATTCATCTCAATATTTAACATTCCTCTAATTTCCCATGTAACAATTTGCAAAATTCAATATTAAAGGATTTTATATATAGGGATTCAGATATTTGAGGTGACTAACTTCATACTGAATGCAAAATGAATGTATCTATAACATCCAATTGAGAGCTGGGGCTGTGGCTCACTGGCAGAATGTTCATTGTGCATGTGTGAGGCACTGAGTTTGATCCTCAGCACCACATAAAAATAAATAAAAGGTATTGTATTCATCTACAAGTAAAAAAAAATATTTTTAAAAAATCCAACTGAGTATCAATTCTTAGGTGAAAAATGAGCATAAGCTAATAGAAAAATACTTCTGCTTTATACCGGATTTTGCATATTATCATAATGTTATATGCCAATATTCTTGTGTTCCAGTTCATTCTCAATCTGCTAGGTAAGCCAGCATCTATTAAACTCAGTTTCGTAAAAAAAAAAAAAAAAAAAAAAAGCAAGAAGATAAACATAATGTCTAAGAAGGCCCATTAGCTAGTAAGATATAAAGTTATGTGAAATCAAAATTAGAACTTAGCCTCCTTTACCCAAGCAGTATTTATTCCACAATATTAGATATATAGCATTATAATGAAGCAAGTACTTTTTGACAATTTTGTCACCAGAAATGGTATTATTTTAAACCTTACTGAGACAGAAGAATAATCACAAGCAAAAAGTTCCACACTGCAAGGAAAGCAGGGTTGCTCTGAGAACACATTTAAACAACAGTTCTGATACCTAAATACTTAGAAGTAGGCCAGCATCGAGATGAGGTTCTGACCCTAAACTGTTCTACACTGAACCTTAACTTTCAAGGAAGACTTGGTTAAGCCTCCTGGTTACCAGCAATAGCAAAGACAAATCCTCTCTGAAGAAAAAATTGTCAATTTAAAGCAAAGAATAAACACAGATTAAAATCAAGTAAAGGGCTTGTGATTAAAAATCACCAAACACTCATGAAGGAAAACCATAATGAGTAAAAAATTTTTAAAATAAAAAACAGATTTAAACTCCAATGGAATGTTATAATTTAAAATATATTGTGTGTGTATGTATGTATGTATGTGTGTGTGCATATATATATATATATGCAGATTTAATGCAATCACAATCAAAATCCCAATGATATTCCTCAAAGAAACAGCAAAAGCAATCATGAAATTCATCTGGAAAAATAAGAGACCCAGAATAGTCAAAGCAATCCTTAACAAGGAGAGTGAAGTAGGGTGGCATCACAATACCAGACCTTAAACTAAACTACAGAGCAACAGTAACAAAAACAGCATGATATTGGTACCAAAATAGACTTGTAGAACAATGGTACAGAGACAAACACACATAAATACAGTTATCTCATACTAGACAAAGACATCAAAAATATACATTGGAGAAAAGACAGCCTCATCAACAAATGGTGCTGAGAAAAACTGGAAATCCATATGCAGCAAAATGAAGTTAAAGCCCTATCTCTCACCATGCACAACACTCAAAGTAGATCAAGGACCCAGGAATTAAACCAGAAACCCTATGCCTAATAGAATAAAAAGTAGGCCCAAATCTTCATCATATCAGATTAGGCCCCAATTTTCTTAAAAAGACTCATAAAATGCAAAAAATAAATTCAAGAATCAATAAATAGGATGGATTCAAACTACAAGAGCTTCTTCTCAGCAAAAGAAACAATCAGTGAAATGAAGAGAGAGCTTACAGAATGGGAGCAAACTTTTACCACACACACATCAAATAGAGCACTAATCTCCAGGATATATAAAGAACTCAAAAAACTTAATACCAAAAAAAAAAAAAAACAAATAACCCAATCAATAAATGAGCTAAGGAACAGAACAGACAGTTCTCAGAAGAAGATATATAATCGATCAACAAATGCATGAAAATATGTTCAACTTCTCTAGCAATTAGAGACATGCAAATCAATATTCTAAGATTTCATCTCATTCCAGTCACAATGGCAGTTGTCAAGAATACAAGCAATAATAAGTGTTGGCGAGGTTGTAGGGAAAAGGCACACTCTTACACTGCTGGTGGGACTGCAAATTGGTACAACCACTCTGGAAACCAGTATGGAGATTCGCTGGAAAACTTGGAATGGAACCACCATTTGACCCAGCTATCCCACTCCTCGGGACTCCCAGCTATCCCACTCCAAGGGACTTAAAAACAGCATACTAGAGTGATGCAGCCACATCAATGTTTATAGCAACACAATTCACATTAGCTAAATTGTGGAACCAACCTAGATGTCGTTCAATGGATGAATGGATAAAGAAACTGTTATAAACACAATGAAATATTACTCAGCATTAAAAGAGAACAAAATCATGGCAATTGCAGGTAAATGGATGGAGTTGGAGACTATAATGCTAAGTGAAGTTAGCCAATCCCAAAAAATCAAAGGCCAAATGTTTTCTCTGATAAGTGGGTGCTGATCCACAATGGGGAGGGGGGACAGCATGGGAAGAATGGAGGAATTTTTGGATAGAGCAAAGGGGAGGGAGGGGATAGGGAGGCAGCATGGGAATAGGAAAGATGGTGGAATGAGATGGACATCATTACCCTAGGTACATATATGATGATGCAAATGGTATGACCTACTTTGTATGCAACCAGAGACATGAAAAACTGTGCTCCATTTGTGTACTATGAATCAAAATGCATTCTGCTGTCATTTGTAATTAGAACAAATAAATTAATTTTAAAAATGCAAAAAATAAAATACATTGTATTGAAAAGCTACCTAATGATTCAGAAAAAGAAATCCAAAGTTCTAAAACGAATGTTAGTATAAATGCAAAAAGTAAATGGTACCTAAAAATACTTGTGTCCCATGAAGTAACTAATTTTAAAATAATTCCACTTATCAACTGTTTCATACCATTTCACAAAAGCTTCTTTTAAATTATTATGGAGATTTTCTTTTCAGAAATATGTAAAGCCCAGGAATACTAAATATCATAAACATTTCTCCAATAATCAAATATTCTACTTATTAAATAACTAACTAAATAAACAGGCTTCCAAGCATACATTTTTTTAATTTCATATTTTCAAAAAAATATGAAAAAGAGATTCACACTACCTGATTCTGAGAATAATATGAAAACTACAGTATTCAAAACATGATATTGGAAAAAGGACAGGCATATAGATCACTGGAACACAATGGAGTATCCAAGAAGACACACATATGTGGTCAATTGACTTTGCACTAAAGTATCAAGGCTACTCAAATCGAGAATGAGAAACCGTCTATAGAACAAAAGAACTATTTTCTTCAACAAATAAATAGATTTTAAAAAGAAGAAGAAAATGAACTATTGTATGTTAAATACCTACTGACATTCTTAAGACCTTTAGTGAAATATATCAACTCTAAAAATGTATCTTTTTAATGCTAAGTGAAGTTAGCCAATCCAAAAAAAAAAAAAAAAAAAAAACAAATGCCGAATGTTTTCTCTGGAATAGGGAGAGGGAGCATGGGATGAATACACGAACTCTAGATAGGGCAGAGGGATTGGAGAGGATGGGAGAGGGTATGGGATTAGAAATGATGGTGGAATGTGATGGTCATTATTATCCAAAGCACATGTATGAAGACACGAATTGATATGAATATACTTTGTATACAACCAGAAATACGAAAAACTGTGCTATATATATATATATATATATATATATATAATATATATATATATAATAAGAATTGTAATGCATTCCGTTGTCATATATAAATTTTAAAAAATAAACA